GGGGGGGGTTTCTTTTTACCTAGTCCTAGTCCATGGATGACGGCCACTCTGTGCAAGAGCAGGCATGCCAATGGCTAACGCATTGGGGTGAGTGGACTTTCTCTCCACAGTAACAGGTCTATGGTAATTTCGAAGACCAAAACAAGAAACTGGGTATAGTAGACATGATGATGGCTTGGCCAACAATGTTTGCTATGATACTTTATATAACTTCTGCTGAGAAGTTGGAAGTTAAAATAAATTTATCACGGCTAGGACATTAAGAGGTCAAATTCAGAGGCAAAATGACAACTTCATGGACTTACTTCTAAAGTTTCTCCATAGAATGGTGCTTTTTCACCATCCACCATAATCTCCAGAGGTATTGTCCGGGTTTTCTCAGTACTGGGGTCAATAAAACCTTCAGCTGGACCTTCAGGATCTCCTGTTTGAACCACAAACCCATCCGCTGCAGAACATCCAGAACAATGAGTTTCAAGAAGATATACAGGTTGAAAATTACATAGAGAGCACATTCCTCTTTTGCTGCATAGACAACTTATTTGTCCATTGGTTCCGTGCAAGAACAGAGCAAAAATCATAAGCTTACCTCTTTGAATTTCCATGCCATCATAGAAATGTCTCTCCACCAAGTCTATAAAATTTCCTGCAGTAACTGGAGAATTATAGCCATCTAGGACGATACGAAATACGCATTCCTCCACGTTGGGATTGTCTTTAACTTTGACCTTCATATCAACAGTTGCTCTTCCCTTTAGTAAAGGCAAATTTTGATATTCTTCAGGCACTTCATATGGGAATCCATCCACCATATCCTCTTCAACACTGCAGAAATCGAATGCCCCAGGAAGATCTCAGCTGCAGTCAATGACAAGTGGTCTAAATGAGCAAAGTATAATTTTGGAAGTTCACCATTTTTAAAAGTCGTCCTCGCTCCTCACTTTCTAATCCTAGAATTGGTCCATAGCCAACAAAAAATATTATTTTGGTAGTCAAACCGGAATAAGTACCCAACTTTTACATCAATCCCTCCAATGACACTTCTGTGTCTACATTGAACAAATTCTAATAAAATAATTGCTTTCTCAAAGTTTCTGTAGAAAAAAATTGTTTTGGACAGAGGCTTTGACACCTTTTCCATTATAATACTCTATTAAGTATGCATAGAAAACACTAAAACACTGTACATGGATAATTGACTTTCCCTAAACCAAGCTACCCAATACATATTCAGGGCAGAAGACCAGAGACACTCTTAACTAAGTCTCTGAATGATTGGTCTCTTTCTCAGCCTTATTATCTGGTAAAAAAGGAACATAACCTTATCCTTAGGCATATGTATCTGACTGATGTCAACTGAAGTAGCAGTAATTAGGCAGCATGCTGATGCATCATCAAACAGAGAATTAGTGCCAGACACAGCATTCCTCCTTACAACTCACAGGATGCATGAAAATGTGCATACAAAGAGCAATGCAGACTAAGCTAGCAATAAATTCTTTATTCTTATAAGTAGACTAACCTAGCTATACATACCCTCCAACATAATTAAGCAATTCTTTCTGTTTAGATACAACAGCATCTCGATTCTTGTCTTCAACAATTTTTTGAAGCTCATCTAACCCAGCTTCCAGTTTGTTTAGTAATTCAACGCCGTGGTCAGCCTTTGACTTTGCAAGTCCTGAAACAATCAAGGTTTTCCCTTGCTTGAGAGCTCGGGATGCCTGTCTTGTATTCTACACAGTTGAAATACGAACCACCGTTACAAATCCAAAAAGCTATATAAGGTGCAGATTCATGCCAAAAAATGATAAATCGGGAGCAACAAAGCAAATGGCATCTTACTCTTTCGACAGAATCAAGCGCCTTCACACCAGCAACCTTAAGACTATCAGTAATATCTTCAAGTGGTTTTTGAACTTCTCTTATTGCCTTGTTGTCTATAGGCAATGCGTACCTCAATAACGCCCCCGGATCCTTAATTGGTGGCCCTGAGATCAACACAGAGACATCTGGTAATGCAGGGGTGCTCGCATGGGCAGGACTCAACCATTCCAAGCCAGGTACTCCACTTAACAAACTAACTGATAATGCAACCGAAACTGCACACTTCTTCAATGACAAGAACCAATCTTTCTGCACTTTCAACATAAATTTTCATTGTCAAGTACAGTCCTTTCGTTACTTAAAATGCTAAGATTGTACAATTAAGGCTGTGGATTCAGCTCAAACCATATATATGTGTAATTGAATTTTTTTTGTTAACACTAACTATGAGCATTGTAATGTAGTGACTATGCAATAGTAATCTACATGACTTAAAATTCAAGATTAGAAGAAATGAATGCCTATTTTTTTTCTTCAAAAAAGAAGATAAAATGGAAATGCATATGAAAAAAAAAGAACTTGCCTCTTTTTCTTGGATTTCAGAAGGACGTGAACGTTGTGAAGAACATAGTGGAGCAAAATGGCGGATCGGCCCTTTAGTTAGAGAAGGTGCAAAATGGGTGTAATTGAGGGAATGTTTGATGGGTTTGGTGGAAGTTGTTAATGGGGAAGAAAAATAGTGGCAGGAAACAGAAGCTGCCATTAATTAATTTACAAGTAGTTACAGTTAGGAAAAACTAGAGGACATTTAGGGTTTGGAGGAAAAAAGAATGACAAATGTAACTGTCAGCTACCAGAAGAAAAGAAGAAGACAGAAATGTGGCCAATTATTAAAGGAGAAATTTAGATATGGGGATTGAAGATTCTGGTGTAATGGACAGGAGTAGAGTGGCAAGAGATAAGGTTATGACTGGAAAGGATAAAATTGGGAAATACAGAGACTTAAGTCAACCTCACGCTCCGGATAAGATAATTGTATCACTTCACTTGGATTATCTAACTGGGTTCTGGGCTTTACTACCAAATTGGGCCGAGACAATATAGAAACATTGCGGCCTTTTACACTTGCACATTTGCACAAATAGCCACTTTTATGAAGTTATATTAGGAGGTGGCCACATATTCAAAATTAGACTAGTAATTGGTCACAGGTCTTATTTTAAAAAAGTGATCATCTTATGAATTTAAGGCCATAAAAGTAGACACTTGGTGTAACACCCTTGGCTTTTGGACACCCGGTAACAGTACTTCGCGAAAGAACCTTACAGCGCTATGAAAGATTTAGTAGGTGTTTGGACAATATTAATTGAAGTTGCAAAACTGTATTTGAAAGTTGAATTTAAAGTTGTGTCTTAATATAGATTTCACTAATACTACTACTCAAACAAGTTTTTCAATCACTATTTGCATATTTGCATATTCAAAGTAGAGAAGGACTTTACTATTTCAAGGTCAAAACTTTTTCATTCTTTATGGATTATGGAGATTAATGCCAAAACTAAAGATATCTCATTATTCTGTTTGTTATGAAACTTTGCAGGAAATCTACGTACTGGTACTGATCATGTTCAATGGTATTGCATAAGATTGGACTACTCCAAAAGATTGCAAACTCGAATAATACTAACTGCCGATCGAAGGCTCAATACAACAGAAAGTACTCGTCTTGCATCACATATTGCTGCCCCATGTAAACATTCATAGAACTAGTTGGAATAAAGTTTATTCTAGAGGTGGCAAAATTCAATAAACCATAGATTAGCTCAAACTATTTCGCGTAAATTTAATATAGGACAAAGGAAGATAGAGTTTAAGAATTATTTAACTAAGTTATTAGAAACCATAGTACATTGCGCAATAACTGAACATAAAAAAAGCCAAGAATCATGGAAATTAGAGAACCGACGTCAAGATTTATATGTTCTCTATCGCATATGCCCAGTATATATAAGGAAAAAGAAAGCATGCTCAAAGAAATTTTTCTATATCTCTATTGATTAAAACTAAGTTTAAAGAATGTATTAACACTTGCTAAAACTTGCAGAAAACCGAACTATGAGAACGTGTAAAACATCCGGAGTGTAAATGCCGCATATATAATATTTCGAGGAATATAGGATAGGGGATAAAAGAAAAAGTAAAACAAAATTTAAGAGAATCATAGTCTTCTGTTGAGAGATGGGGGTAATCAAACGTTGTATACGAGCTCCACGGTAGGCTGCTTCTCGTCCTCTTTCTTTGGATTGCGGTAAATGAAGAGCAACAGCAGCTGAATCAAACCTAATAGTGCTCCAATTCCATTTCCAGTCTACACAATCACAGCATTACATCAAATCAGTATACAAATTCCAATTACAAAAAGGAATACTAACCGTACGGTGTTTGATTGGGTATGGAATTTAATCAGTAGGAAATTAGACTAACCAAGATGTAGGGGTCAAACTTGAGGAGAGCATAGGCGGCCCAGCAGATTCCATTCAGGAAGCATGCTATGGAAAGCCACTTAGGCAAGAATTCAGCGCTCTTTGTTCTGATTACCTTAAACTGTATTCAGCAAAAAACAAGAAAATTAGCCAGAGTACAAGTATAATATATGACAAAATAAACCATACTAGTTTGATATAGTGTATGAAATTGATCACAGCAGAACTAGGTAGAACTTGTACATACCATGACTGATAAAGGCGCTCCATACATACAAATTCCAAAGATGGTACAGATAATTCCCACGATCATGGTTCTACTTGCGGTGGTGTGCAAGCCTAGCATGGTTCCAACTACGATGGCTGCAAGGCCCACGATTTCCAAGAACAACATGCCAACTATGGTTTTCTGAGATTGAAAAACAAAAAGGGTCATGAAACCATATATAAGAGCTTAATTTTATACATATTTTAAAGTATAAATTCCGATTTAATTCAAAAAGTTTCTGGAGTAGTTAGTTACCCGATTCTGTTTGCCGGCGTAGCAGAAAAATATGGAAAGATAGCACAACTGCAAGAAGAGACCAACGCTGTTGATGGAGACAACAAGGGGGCTGTGGGGATGAACAAAAGGCATGCCGTAGAAAATCCACATCATACAGTTCATTGTAGAAGCGATGTATGGCCACGGGTGGAACTCCTCTACCGATTTTTTTTTGATGATTCGCCAAAATGTTGGTCTGATTACACAAGATTTTCAATTCAGATTAAATTGAACAGCAATAAATAATATAATATATATGACTTCTGGAGATATATTTAAAGTAATTTAAGTAGTATTTAAAATTTGAATTTTCTCCATTCAGATGCATAATTTGATGAACTAAGCGACAGAGAACTATAAATTAATCTCTTTACAAAATAGAAAATAAGGATTACGGTGCCTAAATTAAGTACATGTATTGTCATATGAAATAGATGGAACTTTAAATAAGCAAAGAGATAGAGAATGAAGGTATCTTACATTGGCGAAGCAAAGAGGAAGAAAGATAAGATATTGCCTGCACATTAGAAGAGGAGAACATTAGAGAAACTTTTATGAGCCTGATCATTACAAATTAATTTAATCAGAAAAAAACACATAATCAAGCATGTATATAAGCAAACATGCATGACGCCAGAACGCATGCATGCATGTATGTCAACAAACTGAATTCATACGTCCTATGCCTAATCGTCCAGATTCCTCCATCAGTTCTTAGATTACGTAGCAGAATATATATATACTACTTGTATACATGAAAATAATTGATTATGTCGCAGAAAACCGTAATCGGAATATCACAGAAAGCATAAAACCACGGTTCATTAGAAGAAATTTAACCAAATCGCAGTTTCAGAGCGGCAACTAGAGAATCAATTCAAGCAGTTTCAAATTTCAATCAACTTAAGCTACAAACAACTCTAACAGAGAAGCTCTCAACATATAAAATCAAAATCTGCATTGTGAAAAAACAGAATAGAAGAGAGGATTAAAGTGCGAACCAGCAATGCCGACGATGAAACGAATTTGATCTGCACTCATCGTCATCTTCGATTGCCTTTGAGAAACAGAGCACGAACGAACAGAGGAATTAAGGAGAAACGAAGAGAGTAAAAGTGTGTGAGTTGTGAGGGAGGGAAGAAGGGCGTGTTGATTATATAGATATCAGAAAAATAGCAGTGTTTGAGTTGGACTGCGCCGCAAATAATCCAGTTTTTAAACTAATTTGGATTCTTCTCTCTTTCTCCTTTTTCGTTTCTTTCATCTACTCGTCCTATTTTATCCAGAACTTTGTTTAAAATCCACTCCTATTTATACGAGGTTTATTATTTGCAATCTTTTCTATATTCTTTTGATTTTTTTATCTTTAACCTTTATCACTTTTTTTAAAAAAATTTTATTTTGACTTCTTGTTTTTAATTGCATGATTTATTCAAAATTTACTTGTATCTAGCTACCGCATACGCCTACTGATAATAGTTTAATTTTACGAAGCAATTATGTTAGTAAGATAGTTATTAGTGAATTTATATTATATACATTAAGTATATCAGTAATATTGTCCTATAAAGTTATTTATGCAACCAGACCCTGTATATATCTTATATGAAAAATGTTTTTACTTTCAACAGACCATCACGCAAAAAGAACGGGCGGTGGGTGTTTCGTTCAGTTAGTTACAGTAGGTTACGTTATTGGCATCCTTTTCCAACTTATTTGCAAATAAGTACCCCTTCCCTTTCCTAATTCCAATTGGTTACTAAACCAGCTACATATGTACCCTGGCGTGCAAGAAATTAATAAGAAGATAAAAACTTTGCTGAAAATCAGTAATCCTATTCTATTTACTTACTAATATAACTCATAATAATATTATTACTTGTAGGCCAACTTTTGATAGATAAAACAAGTAATCAATAAATAATTTACGCAAACTGATTCGAACACCATAATTATTAAAAAATATTTGAGGGACCAAAAGAAGTGGCGAATTTATATTATATATGGCCTTGACAAAACTTATAACTTCTTTGACGTATCACAAAAATAGGGAATTTGGAGTATCAGAAGTATGGGAAGTGCCGTCGGCGAAATTTGAGACAACATAAGTTATTGATGATTATCCGTATTTCCGTACCTCCAAGCTTTGCAAATTGCAAATGAACGACTCTTTAATTTCGTGAAATCAAACTTTCACTTGATCAAACGCAAGCTCTAATGCTAAAATTACAGCCAATGATAAGTATAATTCCCATTTGATATACATCTTTTCTTTTCAAAATTCTGGTACAATTACAACGTTAAGTAAATAAATGGACTTTGAGTCCAAGTCAATTCCAAAAATTACGTCACGAGGTAAGGATTGTCCAATAACATATAAATAACAATAAAAATAGTTCATTACATCAACAAATGTGTGACACTTAATACCGTCATCACACCCAGAAATGTATCTTAGAGCGTGGACAACATAATATGTGATCCAACACTAAATTAATAAAAAAAATGTGAGGAATCTAGCTTCAATATGTTTATACCAAATTAATATATAGTATAAGATATGTATGTTTCATACATACATCTATTATCCTTTAAAATTTTACTACTCGTGCTCATACAAGTGAAACGTTGAGCGAAACAAGTGAAACTGAAGCATATATATCATTATTAAGCACGTCGTCTATAAATACAAAATCTTTGTTATATCTATGTACTATTAAGTTATATCTGTGTAGTTATATGATGGGATGAACGAATTAATTTTTTTACTTTTAAATTATTTGACACGCGCGTATAATAGAAAGAGACAGAAGAAGAAAGAGCTGTATCTATGCTTATTTAGGCTCTTTAAAGCCGTTGGCCCAATTGGAGATTCTCACCTATTGATAGCCCAATGTGTTCTGGCTGGAAAACTTAGCTGAAGCTAAAC